CCATGTAAGAGACAAAGTATAAGCAACTGTAAGCAATTTTAACCAAACAATATGAGACAGTGTATGAGGCAAAGCATGAACAATTATGAGCAATGGGCAAAGACATCAACATTTGAAGCATAAAAACTTGTTACCTAAGCAAGTCCCAATCCAGAATCTGAAAGAAAAGCAACCTCATATTTCTGTCCAGTGATCTTGGTGGGAACCTCCAAATGATACAGGGACCTCCAAAATGATATAGGGGAAAAATGAAACTCCTGAACTGAGAGGTACCTGGGATGAGTTACTGTTCTCTAAAACCAAAAAAATGAATTTTAGGAACAACGGAGGTAATGAGCAGAATAAATTTATTGTGGGGAAGAAAGCTCCTGTCTGAGAGAGGGATGGGAGGGGGACCCTGAGCAGGTGGTCCCCTTTTGTTTTTTCATTTCTATTTTTTTTATTTGTACATGTTTGCAGCACATAGTGATTGCATTCCTCCTGGCGAGCTGGTACACAAACACTTGCCTCGCAGTTCATCCTTATCCCCTTATCTCCCCTCGTTGCATCTCTCTGTCCTGTAATTTATTCTTAAGACCCTGCTTCTCCAGTTAGAAAAAATCCCTTTTAAATTTATGTCCTTCCTCTCTTAATGAAATAATTTTCTAATAATTTTAATCCCTCAAACTGTATTAATGTATGGCCTTCATCAGTATTAAGTTTTTAATTTAAAAACCGGAAGTAAATATTTTGATTAATGTTAAACTATGATTTAAGTATTTTCTCCATTTGGATTTCCTTAAAATTACCAGTAGAGGGAGTTTGTCCTAGTATTTTCTGACTAGTAAATCCAAATTTTCAACCACATAGGATTAAAATACAAATTTGTTTACTATTGTACATTTTTCTCAGATTAAATTAATCATTTGTTATTTTATGTATATATCATATAGTTCCACTTTACGCATGACTATTTTAAAACTATGCAAATAAAGCTATGAGTAAAAGTAATCACTGTAAACCAGTAAGTCCTAATATTACATTTCTTTTGTACCTAGTTCACAAATCTGAATAATATGCATAGTGTGTGTGTGTTTCCTAATTTAGGCTGCCTTAAGGGCAGGTGTGGTGCAGCCTGTGGACCTGGGGATCCGAACTGCAGTGCGGCCCCCTGTGCCTGACTGCATTTGCCCAAGCGGCACTTGGAGTAACTGAGCTAACTGGCAAGCCCCAACATACCTAATGTTAATGAAGTTATAGCTAATATATTATTATAGCTCTCTTACTAGAGATGAATAAGCTCACTGAATATAAAATGTTAAGTTTTGGCCCTTTGCGGTCTAGTTAATACCCTCAAATGGTATTTGAAAATGCTGTACTTTAATTCATTTGCTTCATTATTTTTTTCTAGGTAAAGTATTTTATTGGGCCTAGGAGATAAGCTCAGTAGAATAAGCACTTGCCTGGCAAGTCCAAGGTCCTGAGTTCAATTTCCAGTACTGCAAAAAAAAAAAAAAAGTATTTTATTACTGTATTACTCAAAGCACAGCCACAGCTGAAGCTTCAGCCCAGTATTTTGCGTCAGTGCCCTCAAGTCTTCCAAATGCCACAGGAATAGCATGGAACCTATGAGACACATGTACAAGGAGTAGGCTGCTGTTCAGGGGAAGAACACTGAGCTTTGGCTGTTTGCACTTAATAGCAAGAATCAAACCTGATCTTTGTCCAGCAATAGACATCACCTTAGAGTTCCAGGCTCCTTCTTGAGAATAGTTCCTAAGAAAAGCCCTGGCTAAAAGAGTCAAGATCTTGAATTTATTTTAGTTTATTTATTTATTTTGTATTTAGTACAGGGTTTCACTACACAGATCAGACTCAGTAGTGATTCTCCTGTTTTTAGCCTCCCAAGTGCTGGGATTACAGATTAGCACCACCATGCCCTGTCTCAGCTGCTGTCTCAATGCGTCCCAGGGGCGGGGCTGGCACAGCATGCCAGGGATCAAAACCTCAGCCGCCATGCTGTGCCTAAATAGTCACTTTAATCCACTGAACTGTCTGGCTGGCCTGACATTTAATTTTTGGCATGCCTAGTAAGGAAATTCAGGGATGCTAAGGGCCTAGAGAAAGATGTCTCTTCCAGCAGCCATGGCTGACTATCCTATGTGATAGATTGTAGGAGAGTCTAACTCATTTAAGTTATATCATCTTTTTTTTTTTTTTTTTTTTAATGGTACTAGGGATTGAACTCTGGACCCTGTGCTTGCCAGACAGGTGCTCATTCTACTGAGCTATCTTTCCGGCCCTAACCATCCATGTAAGATGAGAAAACTGAATCAGTTCATGCTTCTTGCTAATGGATTTTTTTTTCAAATAAAATTTTATATTTTAGAATACTATACATTTGGAAGGCATGAATACATGTAAGGCATCATGATATCATCAACAAGAAATTATCATTCTTTTAACCTTTATAAAATTTGCAACTACAAAAAACTAGTCAGAACCTATATAGGGCAATTAGAAGAGACTTCTTAAGAGAAGAATTTGAAAAACATAAAAACTACTTATTAATAGTTACTATCTATTTTTGTTTTTGGTCTAGTGCACTATATCAAGTTTGAATGGAAGTAAGCCAACTGAGAAGACTATAAGGATTAGGTGCATTCTGACACCCCACAAGTTCTGGAACTGTGCACTGGCAGTTGCTAATGAATTTTGACACCTAATTGTTTAATGATAAAATAAAATGTTTTGTCGCCTTGACATTGTAGTACTAGATGAATTGATCGCATTTGGACCTGAGGGGTTTTCTTGTCAGCTAGTTCTACATGTGAGAATCTGTGCTTAGAGCTTAAACTTAAGGGAAAAAGAATTTTTCAGTATTGGTGTCATCAGTAAAATGTCACTGACTAGTACTAGTTGCTGAGATAATAAAGAGAAAAACAGTTTTAGAGCTTGGAATTTTCATCCTAATAAAGCGTAGAGCTTAAATTAGTTGTAAAGTACATTTTAAGACCAACTTACATTTTAAGTTAGTTTCTCACTTCAAAAAAAAATAGTTTATGTCCACATTGTTAAATTCTGAGTTAATTGGAGCAATTGAACCTTATTGTCACTGTGAGAGCTTATTGTCAAAGTGTTCTTCTGGAATCCTGTTGTGACATTTTGACTAGTTCTTCCTGTAGCCTAGGCAGACTTACTCTGCTTTGTCCTTCTGGTTGGAGCCATGAACTTGAATTCTAAGAGGTAGGCATAGTGTGCATGACAGGTCAAGCATTGCTGATTGCTTTATTCAGCCTTCTTTTTAAAAATACACTAACTAAAGTTTGATGGTATGTCACACCATACTAAAAATGTAATTCTGAAGTGTGACATCATTGCTTATTTTCAGGAACCCAAAGGGTAAACAAGGAGCATAATGGAAGACAGACATTGGGAAGTAGGAAGAAGGCCTTCAAATTGGAAGAGGAGCAAGTGGTGGGGGGATCGTGAGGGAAGGAAGGGGAAAAGAAAGGACTATAAAAGGGGAAAATGGAAACTAAGCTTTTGTAAGCGGTGAGGGGAAGAAGTGTTGAAGGGAGGGAAAAGGACTGGAAAAAAAAGACTAATATCTTTTGGCAGGAACATATTTTCCGTGATGAATATGAGCATTATGTATGGGAAACATGTTTAAAGAATGAAAAGCTTTGTCTTTCCTCATGTCAGCATTATCTTCCCATTACATGTTATATATAATTACTGTTCTGTTTTGGTGTTGGGAACCATACACTGGGCCTCTTGAATGTTAAGCATGTGCTCTGTCACTGAAATACACTCCCTGTCCTGTACTTGCAATTTTGAAAATAGAAGCTCTATGTTGGGGCGGTGTTGGTTTTTTGAGATTAAACTCACTGTGTAGCCCAGACTGGCCTTGAATTTATGGTCATCCTCCTGACTTAGCCTTTCTAGTGTTGGGATTAGAATGTGTACCACCAAGCCTGCAGAACTCTATAGATTTTGTCTAGTGACCTATTACTACTCACGTAAGCCAGAAGAGAGTTTTTAAAATTTTAGACCTATGACAATAGAGGGGTGAATTGACTTGTTCACAATAACAACAACAACAAAAATATCAAAAGAATGAAGTTTTGTTTTAATTATTATTTGAAGTATTAAATAATAGATAACTTTCTAGCTAATCATACACACCTGGTTATTACTTCAACAAATGCCTATGTTGGCAAATATAAGATTAAAAACTAAGGTATTTACATGTTATGTTGCATTTATTAAATCCAAATAATCATTCAAAAATACCAATGAATCAATAACTGTATCGAGGCCAGGGAGATGGCTCAGTGGAATAAGTGCTTCCCTGGCAAATGCAAGGGCCTGAGTTCAATCCCCAGTTCCGCAAAAAACCCTGTATCATATCTGAGCTTCTTATAAAAAGCCAAATTTGCAGCTGGGGAGATGGCTCAGTGGAATAAGCGTTTCCCTGGCAAGGACAAGGACCTGAGTTCAAGCCCCAGTTCTGTGCCCCCCTCCAAAAAAAGCCAAATTTGCAGGTGCTGTAGTTTAGTGAAAAAAACTCTTGAATAAGGTTGTCAATTTAAAAAGCTGGATAGATCAATAACATTGTGATTCACTCTGTAGTAGAAATGACTGTTTTATGTAGCCTGAGATTCCAGGAGTGTACCACCATGTCTGGCTTTCACATTTATTGTGTGATTGATATTATATATTTATATATATTATGAGTGAATGTCATAGTGCAAGGTGCTGCTTTGTGCTGAAGTATACAAATCATTTTATGAAGGTTGATAGTGATACTGAAATGATTGTCATATCTCAGAAAAAGTATAATATTTATATGATCTTGGTCAGGAGCTATGTAGATGTATTCTCATCTGTAAAATGACAAGGTATATTATTCAATAGCGTATGATGTTTTTCTAACATCTTTACTTTTTTAATGTAGTAAAAACTAGGTAAATTACAATACCTGAAAATAATTGATTTTTTTTAACCCCTTTTTACAGTTTGAATTATTTTATAGCCAGCATTTTAGTGGACGGAAACTGACATGGTTACATTATCTTTGTACGGGTAAGTGCACTGAATTATAAATGCCTTAATGAGATTTACCTGATAGGAGTATCTTAGAAAGAAACTTCTTATTGCCTAATTAAAGCTTTTGACCTTTTCTCCTCCATCTGCCTTTGTGGTAGATAAATCACTAATAATGTAATCCAGGTATAACATTTTTAATAGGATTTTATAATTAGGCTACTGATCATATTGTTGCTTTTAAAGAGAATTTTGAGTTTTATAATGACTTAACGAATTTCTCTTGACAACCACTTTTTATAGATTTTAGAAAATTTGTTTAGAAACAGACTTGACCTTCATTAACCATTATAGCCTCATAAGTTGACTCAGCCATTACATTTTTGGGATGCTGTAATGAACTATAATATAAAATGATTTTTCAAGGAAAGCATGTTCAATACTTCTAGTTTAAGAACATTTTAGGTGTACTGGGGAGATAGCTCAGAGGCGTAAGCACCTACCTGGCAAGTGCAAGGTCCTGAGTTAGATCCCTGGTACCCCCACCTCCCAAAATAAAAAAACCCTTCAGTTATGGTAGCACATGCCTTTAATCTCAGCACTTGGGAGACTGAGGCAGGAGGATCCTCATGAGTTTGAGGCCAGCCTGTGCTACATAGTGAGCTCAAGATCAGCCTGAACTACATGTGAGATCCTGTTTCAAAAAAAGAGAGGAAAAAAACAAAACAAAACAAAACACCTTTAAGAAATTCCACTGTATTTATAAGTAGGACTTTGGTAAGGCTGTGCTTAAAGAACTACTTTTTTTTTTTTTTTGCCATAATTTTATTGATAAACAAATAGCAATGAGACAGTTTCAAATCAAATCGGTTAAAGAACTACTTGATATGAAATAAGTATACAGAGAGAGAGAGCTGTGCAATGTAAAGGGAACCATTACGTTGTCTGAATATAAGTTTTTTTTGTGGGAGAGAAGGAAGCTGCAATAATTCCATGTTGCTGAAAGATAAATGGAGCAAAGATTAGCCCAAGTGAGTTCTTTTTTGGCCCGGGCCTTGGCACAGAGCTATATCCCCAGCTTTTCTGAGTCAGGGTCTCAGTTGCTGTGGCTGGGCTTGATTTTGTGGTCTCAATGCTTCAGCCTAGGTGTGTGCCACCACGCTGCCATTCTGATGTCTAAGATTTATTAATTGTCCCCAGTTTTGCTCAGAGCAACTTTGACAACAATTCTTAGAGTCACCCAGGTCTTGAATTGGGCTTTGTTTTTATACCTCCCCACTTGCACCCCCTAAACCTATCCCTTCCTTCACCACCCAGAATTGTCTGACCTGGTGATCTGAAAAGACTAGGTAGGTCAGATGTGGTATAGAATCTCTAATGTTCTAAATTTGTCAGATTTTTTTTTTCTTATCCTGTGACATGTTTTGAGTTTTATTCCCTATACTTTCTGTAAAGTGGAAATTAGGTTCAAAGGTTTGATTACATTCACGTTCAGTGCTATTGACAAGATGCTTGTCAGGTGTATACATGACACTTCATTATAGCAGAAGGCATAGAAAGCAAGATGCTGTTACTGTTAGAGCTACTAAATGTGGTCCCTTAGTTGAGGTGATAGACCAGATACCAGCATTGTGAAGTTCCTCCTTCTCCTTTGCAGTTAGGCAGTGAGAGAAGTGATACTTAGTGGTCACCAGAAGGACCCTCTTCCAGGGACAGTCCTACCTGTCCTGGCTGCAATCAGTTATTTCGTGAGTGCTTACAAAATGGTGATATTCTAGCACTTTTTCTAGCTGTAAGCCACCAGTATTGTGTGAAGAGAAGCCTTCCCTGAGAACAGAGTAGGGAGTGACAGCGGGGGGAGAGTGGCTGTAAGCCACAGTGAGAGCCACTGCGCAGCGATGCCCATGCCTGTTGAGCTTATTTTAAGAAGTGTGCACATCCAGGATTTTAATCTCTAGGTTCATAGAATTGTCAGGCTTTGGCAAGGTTAAGTGCACCCCATCACTGTCCTTTGCCACTCTGTGAGCTCTGTGCTGCTCAGCAAGTGGTGCTGAAGAGTGGGAAGAACTCTCTGTGCCCCTGCTATGTGAGAATGTATTGAAAAGCAGCACAAAGGCACCATACATGCAAAATTGGTTTTTAAAGTTTTCTTGAAAGATTGTGCCATAAAGTTGGTGGTATGCAAGTGACGCCCCCTCCCTTCATTTCTAATGCTCTCTGTGTTCGGGCGTGGCCCGCGGCAGCACGGGTCCCTCGTGCTGGACCACTACTCCACACCCTTTGCTAGCAAGTGACTGAGTTCTCATCACAGAAACCTCAAAGTGCAACTCATGTGATGTTTTGCTTTTCCCCACATTTTCCAAGTGTGCATATTAGGGTTATGTACGTACTTAACGTACTCTTTGTACTAATTATCAATAGTATACTCTCCTTGATAATTTTCTTCATAAGGTTTGTGGGAACTGGATGTTTTAAGTAATAGATTAGATCAGGGATTTCTTCAAATGCTGAAAAGTATTTCTAAATATTGTTTTTTCTGTAGTCAGTGGGTAAGTGGTTATAATGAACAGTGAAAATTATATTCCACTGAGTGAGGCGACTCTTACTCTCTAGAATCTTTTTTTTTTTTTTATTCTCTAGAATCTTAAGTAATAAATAAATAAATAAATAGCCAAAAATCTTGATCAAAGTTACAAATTATCCCTGAACCAGATGTAGCTGCTAAGGCTAATTTTATGTGAAACACAATTTCCTTGGGTTAAAATGAAGAGCTTTAAAACCAAAACTTCTGTGGCTGGCAAGAAAGCTCAGTGGACTATGCGCCTGCTTTGGCAAGCGCAGGGACCAGGTTTCCATCTGCAGCACCACATGTGAAGCCGGCCTCTACCCCAGGCATGCTGAACCAGCTGCCAGGTCTGGGCGTGGTGGCACATGCTTGTAATCCCAGCACTGGGGAGGCTGAAAACAGGAGGACCAACACAAGTCTGAGCTGCGTAGTGAGACCCTGTACCAAAAACATAAAATAAATAAATAAAAATAAAATCCACACTGCTGGTTCAGTTTATAATCCATTAAATAGTCATAATAGAGAGAGAGCAAGAGAGCGCGAGAGAGCGTGTGTGTGTGTGTGTGTGTGTGTGTGTGTGTGTTAGTCACTAAGTTGCAATTGGATACTTTGGGAAGTGGTTCTTTGATTTACAACTTTCATCTTTTTTACACATTAGAGACTATATATTGGTGGGGCTTTGTTACACATGTTCCATGCCATAGGCCTACCACCTGCTAAATCTTATAGGGCTCACAGGGTAGTTTTTGTCTATAACATTTTAAAATCATTTCAATGAAAGAACAGGTCTGCCTTTTTGTCATTTCTTGTTCCTGTTTGCCTCTAGAAAATTACTCCCCCCCCCCAAATTTTTTTTATGACATCAAATAATGTTGTTCAAATTTGGCTGAAATTACAGTTTAGATAGTTGCAGAACCATTTCCTATATTCTCAGAAACCTTCTGGCACACTTGACCTTGCCCAAGGCAGACCAAATGAACAAGGCAGACATAAGGCATTGTTAGAAGCAGGCTGTCATTCGCTTCTAACCTCTTTTATTATTGTCAGGGTTTTTGGTTTGTTTACTTCCTCTTAAATCTTAACATTCCTATTAATATTTAAAGTCATTGTTCAGACACTCCAGTAAAGTTGCGATAGCTTAACTGTGATTTATACTACATACTTAAAACTGTAGCTCCAATCCTTGCAAACAAAAGCAGCTACATTATTCTTGGTGGCTTTGAGTTAATTTAGGAAGCCCTTAGCTCACTCTTTCAGGAAAGTAGTATAAAATAAAGTTATTACTCAAATAATTTTAAAATGTGTCTTTAAATGACTGATTTGCCATTTCATTTTGATTGCAGGTGAAGTTAAAATGAACTATCTGGGCAAACCATATGTAGCCATGGTCACGACGTACCAAATGGCAGTTCTTCTTGCCTTTAACAACAGTGAAACAGTCAGCTATAAAGAGCTTCAAGACAGCACTCAGATGAATGAAAAAGAACTGACCAAAACAATTAAATCATTGCTGGATGTGAAAATGATTAACCATGATACAGAAAAGGTATGTGGCAATGTTCCCAGAGAATTCAAGCATTGACAACTTGTTTGGTTTTTTTTTTTTTTTTTTTTTTGGTGGTACTGGGGATTGAACCCAGGTCCTTCATATCCCCAGCATTTTGTAATTTATTTATTATTAACAATCACTAAGTTGCCCAGGTTGGGCTCAAACTGGCAGTCCTTTTGCATCTGACTCCGAGTGCTGGGCTGCGAGGTGTGTGTCACCATGCCTGATCGTTATCAACATTATTAAAGCTTTTTTGTGGGACCTTTTGCCAATGCTGCAGTAAGCCGTCCTTGTTAGTAGTACCTTGTGCTCTGGAATGGGTTATGTCCTGCAGTCTTACCCTGTGAACCTAGAGTACTCTTTGTGGACTGATTTTTTTTTTTTTTCTCGTCCTGTGACAGCGAATTGAAAAGTTACAGAATTGCCATGTGGAGCGTTCTGATTGAAACTTCTAAACTGTGGCCCATGACAACTCTTCCTGGGTTTCTTTTCACATGCAGAGTTGTTTTACTCTGTGGCTGTGAATTAGAGATGATAGCCTGTGACAGTGGCCCACGTGTGCCCAAGCCACCATGCGACTTGATCTCAGATACTCTGTGATCTCTTCACACAGGGACACCATGTCACTGCACATGTCTGATAACCCTTGCAAGATCCCAAGCCAGTGATGCACTTCTGGAATGGCTGCTCTATAGTAACACGTTTTCATAGTTGTTGCATGCCTCATGCTTTAAGAGTTTAAAACGCAACCAGTGTGGGGTGAATTTTCAATTTCAAATTATATCTATAAGAAAAGACTCATGTAAATCGTTTCATTTTAATTAATTAACTAGCTGTTTTTAATTTTTAGGCAATGAAGTGCTTTGAAAGTTTTTGTTCTTAAAAAAAAAAAGCTTATTTTTGCTGCCCAGAAATTTATGAAACATAAATTATCTGTTTGCACTTTAAATTTTAATTATGAGTGTGCCAGTTCTGTAGCAGAATTTCTTAGGTTATTATTGAGAATTGGTCTGCCTGACAAGTACCTCTGTCCTGTTGCCAGAGAAATTCCACTGTGTGATAGGAGAAGCTTTGTCAAGCCTGTCACAGAAGTAGTGAATCTAAATGTTAGCTTCACTCTCACTGAGAAAAGGTTCCTTTCTGAAGATGCACTGCAGGGTCAGTAGTGTCACCGCAGGAGGGTGGGGAGTTGGCGCTGTGTGCTGTGGAAGCACAGGTCCCTCCTGTCTTAGGCTGTGTCATCGCATCTTGTAATTTCGGCAGTTACTTGAGCAAAACAAATGTGCCTGATCCTGTTGAGGCCATTGAGCTTACCTTGTTCCATTGAAAGGTAGTATACTTAACAGCTGGACCCAGAAATAGCTTATTCCTAAATGCATACAGATAGATTAAAAGTCTGACACATGTAAAAGTAGGAAATAATTGCTTTTTGTTTGTTTACCACTAGACGACAGTTTTTCCCTTAAATGTAGTAATCTTCTAACAATTGTCTTCTTTTTGTAATAAACTAATGATTTTATTTTTATAAATATATTTTTAAATATAGGAAGATTTTGATGCAGAATCTTCTTTTTCATTAAATATGAACTTCAGCAGTAAAAGAACAAAATTTAAAATTACTACATCAATGCAAAAAGATACACCACAAGTAAGTACTTTTTAATATCACTTTGCCTGAAAATATGTAAGCATTGGACTTTTGTTTACAGTGAGATTGTGTGAGTCTTTGTACCTCAAAGTTAAATAGAATATATTTTTTTCTGCTTTTCCTTTGCATTCACTAATCCTTTTTTTTTTTTTTTTCACAAACCAGGGATTGAACTCAGGCCCTTGAGCTTGCCAGGGTAGCGCTTATTCCACTGAGCCATCTCCCCAGCCCCAACATTACCTAATCTTATCAAATCTCAGCACATGTTTTACATTTTAAAAGAAGAGTAATGGGTATAAGGAAAAAGCCCTTGTAGTTTAGTCTCTTGCCCTTACCACATACTGAAGTGTGTGGCTGGGGATGCAGCTCAGTGGTGGTAGGGCGCTTGCCTAGCCTGCACAATGCCTGGGATCCATCCTCAACACCAGCAAAACAGTGCTGAACAAAAACACAAAACTCACATCTTCCAGCTTTCACCCTAAAGATTAATATGACCCACTGCAAATGTTATTTTCTCATTAGTTCTGTGATATTGAGCACAGCATAACTATTTGATTAGCTCATTATTGATTGGATGGTGTTTGCACTTATCATAACATGAGTTGAACGCAAGTTTAGTGACAGTGTCTCATTTGGCCTTTTTTTTTTTTTTTCCTAAACAGGAAATGGAGCAGACTAGAAGCGCTGTAGATGAGGACCGGAAAATGTATCTCCAAGCTGCTATAGTTCGCATCATGAAAGCGCGAAAATTGCTTCGGCACAATGCCCTTATTCAAGAGGTAAAGAGAGGGACAGACTAAGAATTTTTGAGTAGAAGATACTGCTGGTATACAGATTAGCTTTGTGTCTTCTTAGAGACGGTGCAGAAATAATCTGATCCCAAGTAACATAAAGCAACCTTGCATTGCTTAATGAACAGTACTCCCTTACTGCATTCAAAGCCAGATTTTATTTGGTTTGAGTTTAGGCATCTTAAACTTGCTGGTTTGGGAGTCTCCTGTCCAGGTATGGGGAGCTGTCCACATCACTCACTCGTATTCACGCTTCTCACATGTACACAGGTGCCTGCCAGTGTGGGAACAGACACCTTGAGACAGGCAGTGCTTGAGGGGTTCACAGAGATGGGAGGACAGACATTATTGACAGTTTTGTGCAGATGAATGTCAAATTTGGTTGGCATGCACTGAGAGGAAGGGCAACAGCATTGCATGCCTGCCTGTGCAGCTGACAGCATGCTGGGGAGGCTTTCTTGGTGAAGTGGTATTTGAGCTCAGAGGGAAGAATGGAGTTCAAGTTAAATGAAAGCTTAGGGGTCTCCTTAATTTATGGTATCATTGAATCATATGTGGACATTATTGGATGTTACCATACTTAGGTTCTACACGTTAATTCCTTTATAATATAAACATTGGGGTTTTCCCTCAACTTTGCATTATAAAAAATTTCCATTAACAAATCTGGTTGCTCCCCCTCTCCCCGCCCATTGCTGTGCTCCATCTTTTAAAAAAGGAAACTATCCAGGATACCAGTTACTCCATCTGTCAAGTCTGTCTCTTTTGGAGGACTTTTGTCTTGTTTAACTGGTATAACTTAATGCTGATTTTAGTCATCTTTCTCTGGTTGCATCAGGTCTGTTTATTGGAACCTCAGTAGATTAAAGGTGCCTTCGAGCTTAGTGGTTAATGATTTACGGTTGATGGCCAAGTGACAGCCTGACCTGTGTGTCTCTCCTGCACAGGTGATCAGCCAGTCAAGAGCCAGGTTTAATCCCAGCATCAGCATGATTAAGAAGTGCATCGAGGTCCTGATAGACAAACAGTACATTGAACGTAGCCAGGCATCTGCAGATGAGTACAGCTACGTCGCGTGACGTCACCGCTCCAGTGTGGGTGCAGATCGTTGCCGTCCTGGCTGGTGCGCTCCTGGGAGAAGAAGCAGGCCTGTGCCTCCATAATTTGGTCATTTGGCAGCCCCTGTTTTTCTGCTGTTTACAATGTCACCAGTGCCACGTCATGAGCGTCAGAGAAAATGCCTACAGATATTTCAAGCTCATGTCATGACATTTCTTAAACTTTATCAGAGTGAGTGAAGTGTTGCTGGAATCTGGAAATCGGTTGAGTACCATGCTTTTCTCCCTTCACGTTTGCAGTTGATGTGTTTTTTTTTAATGTATCTTAAAGGACATAAAAACTTAAATATTGTAATATGACAGATAACCTAATAATTGTATCTACATCGAAATGACAAACATGATATTGCTGCTTGTCAAATAAAAAAATAAAGAAATAGAATGCCTTTCTTATGTGGATCAAATATCAGACTGGTCACAAAATTTTATATATATATATATATATATATATATATACATGCACATATATATGTATATATAAACATTTTGCGTATTAACATGATTCCTTCAGCAATCTCTGGTGTTGCACTACACCACAAAAATGCGAGAGGGGTATGTGTAGTAGCCTTGCACTTGGGGAGCTCTACATGAGAGATGTCTTGTGTTTTCATACGTCACTAATTTTTTCCTAAAAGCAGTACACCAAGCCTGCCTCCCCTGAGATGTGCCAGGTTCTGCGGCCCCAGCATACAAGCCTACTCTCTCTTCCCTAGGACCTTGTACCCCGGCAGCAGTGTGGACTGCAGTTCACTCTCGTGACTCTCAGGTGGCGGCTAAGCAGCACATAAAACACCTTTAGAAAAGTCTGTGTGGCACATTATGCCAAGTACCACTTACACAGAGATGTGAAGTTCCATTTTTTAATGGAAAAGAAAAAGAAGGGTAAAAGTACTCTGATCTTTTTATTGTACTGTCTATCCACTCCACACTGTCCAACATATAAACATTTTTGAAACTAAAATATTTTAAGATGTTACACAAAAATAATTGCACTTATATTTCATCCTGTATCTAACAGATAAGGCCTTAAAAGATTATTACTCCTAATAAATAATTTTAGTGTCATCTCACATGATTCATATTCAAATTTCTTACTGTTGAAAATGGCTTTTACACTTGGTTGTGCAATCGTACCTTTAAGTTGTGTCTGTTTCACAAATCTGAGCTTACAGTGGTAAATGAACTGTATTTCTCAACTTCCCTTCCTCCTAAACAGGAAATAATGGCAAACCATATAATATTGTACATTCACAGTCAGCAAACAAAATCCTTGTTCAAATTAACTTGCTGAGAAGTGTCCCAAAATGATGGCTGCTTTTCTTAAATATTTATGACTCTTAACTCTTAACCTGGTATCTAATTGTCAAAAAAAATATATTGAAAAATTGACAAAATCTCTGTGCTGAGGTCTATAGCAGTGGCTGGCAAGAATTTTGCTCACCCCCTGCACACTCTTAGTGGATGCGGATTCTGCCTCCTGCCCACGGGAAGGAGCCATCAGGAGGTGTGGCAGCTCCCGGGGAGGGAGCAGCACCTCTGCTTAGTCACCCTAGGGCAGAGCTCCAGCAGTGAGGGATGTGTCCGTAGGGTGCTGTGGG